CCTGCGAATATGTCAGAGTTTGTGAAAGTGTTATCGGAAAGGATGGATGATATCCACCATCAAGTGCATTTAAAGTTGAAAACGTCTGCTGATTCGATAGAAGTTAACTTATGATAAGAGATCTACTGAAGTCAGCTTTGAACCTAGGAGACAAGGTGTGGTTGTATAATCCCAGGAAGACCAAAGAGAAGTCTCCTAAGTTGTCTTCTCCATGGGAAGGCCCATATGACATATTCGATCGTCTCTCAGGCGTGACTTTCTGGGTAAAATGTGGTCGGCGAGGTAATCCAAAAGTGGTGCATGCCAACAGGCTTTGGCGTTATCACGGTCCAGGACATTTCAGTTGGGACGAAGTGAACAAAGGAACAAATGACGCTGCTGAAGATGTGCCACCTGAAGAAGCCACCGTCGAAGAAGAAACTCTACTCAGTTTTGAGAAGGGAAACGGTGAAGCTCTTGATGAAGTTACTACCACTGATGTGACTGTTACCGATGGTAGGACATTTCCTGATGAAGCAGATGAACCTCACTTGAAGCAGAAGCCAACAAGACGGAGACCAGTACGGAAGAAGATACGTCCCGTAAAATTAAGAGACTTTGTTGAATTGTAATTTTGTGTTTGTAATTCTGTACAATCTAATTAAGTTATTGTTAATTGTTATTGGTTTATTGTATGTGGTTATTGTTCGGGACGAACAATACTAAGGAAGGGGCAGTGTTACGTCAGCGAAGTCACATGACTAGTGTCACGCCACGTTTCTAGAACTATCCTGTACCTTGGTGAATGCTCTAGCATTTACTAGATATAGGGTAGTCTGGTATATAAAAGAGGGTGACAACGTGACGGGACAATATTGAGTGTGTAGGTAATGAGTAATTGAACTGCAGTCAGAGAGAGACGTATTGTTGAAGTTAACGTTCGTTGTTATAGCGTTTTTTTTAGCGTGATTGTTGAAATTAAGTGTATCGTAAAGTTATATTCGGAAAGAATAAACCAGTTTTATTAAGTAAGGACTTGTGTCGCTAAAGTTTCGTCGGAACGAAGTTACGGAAAGTTAATTAACAAACGGAGACGTAACATTGCTAAATGTTTTTGTTAACATTTCTCTAACCCTGAAAATCTGAATAAAAAAAAAGATGATGCATCATAACATATTGGCACTAAGTTAATGGTAAAAATTCTGAACAAGATATATTTTCAGGACAGGTTAAAGAAACTGTCATCACGACTAAGGAAACAACATGAACTCGAAATTTACAACTAATAACAATAAAAAAACATATTATCTGTCTTTTTCTGTTAAACAGTAGTGTGTAAACAAACAGATATTTACCAGAATATTAAACTTTGGAAAAACAAGATTTAATGCAACAAACTTGTTTATTATTTAAAAGGATACATCTCAAAACATGCTAACCCATATTATTAGATATTTCACGTTTTTTTTTTTATTATGTAAATGTTACATGTAAACATTTGAAAAATCAGTAAAGGAAAAGTCCTCTAATACTTGATAAGATGCTATTAACCCAATGGTAACTCTATTATAATTTAAGCAAATACCTGGCTTTTTGGGTGTTTTTTTTCATCCCTTGCCAAGACCTTTTTAAGTCAAGGTGAAAAGGAAAATTACTCTTGTAATTCAACATTTACAAAAATATAAAAGAAACCAGAAAATAGCAATAACTACACATCAGTGTTTGGTTACATAGACTGAAGTGTGTATATAATGCCATTCAGAAAGCATAGGACACATGTGCTTTTCAAAATACAAAGTGTTACAATTTAATAATTTTCCAGGTCAGGTATTCTGGTTATATGTAATTTCAACAATAGCCTAGCAACTCCCAGTAAATAAGCAGAGCATGATAAGAATGCCTATATTACTGCTTTTGTATTAGTTTAAACTTAGGATGTACTGACCATCAGTACAAAGCTAGCCATGGCTACTGTGAAGCACTACAGTAAAATATAACATGTAAAAAATATTAGAAATAAAAGGTGAAAAGCTTTATGGGAGATAATGATAAACTATTTTTTTTCCACAAGTTTTAATAACTGATCTTATTATCACAAATGTGGATGAAGGTTCTAACTGTTAACTATAAACTGATAACAGACTTTCTGTGATTTTATAATTGACTAAACACTAAACATATTTTGCTGCAAGTAATTAAAAAATTAAAACAAAAATCAGAAGGAAATTCTCAAAACCAATATATGATGTTCTTCAGATAGAATTAAACTATATAAATATAGATCAAAATTAATACACATTTCAATAGTAAAGGATAAACTATTATATGACTGACTGAATTAATTCAATGAAGTGCACATACCAGGTTTAGCCATTCTCTTAAGAAATGAAGCTTTTTTGGCTAAGCTTTATTTACAATGTATCTTACCAAATTAAAGTGGGTTGGTAGATAAGAATGGTATATCTTTTCCACTAAAATGATTAAAGCTTGTATATTACAATGGACTAATTACAAGTTTTAAACACCTTACATACTTTTAATTATCAAATAGAATTTAGTTCACTACCTCACCACTAAATCTTCCAAATTTTGAACTAGCACGAGCAGCTTTTGATATGTTGAATTTTAATTTTATCATGCCAAAATTCAATTAATAGCAATCTTTTGCATACTTACATGTGTTTTAGATAGAGAAGTAATATTTTAAGTAGAAATATTTATGAACACTTATAGTATAGTTATTATGCACTGATGTTAATTATACATTCTGTGTGCATTAAAATACAGAAAAAATTCCATAACAATTTCAAATTATTAAACTTTCAACATTTTTCTGTGTACTTAAACAAACATTAGCAAATATTACAAAAATTATAATTACTCAGGACACAGAACTTAGCAAACAGGTATTAGGTAAACACAGTGTTTCCTAAGTTTAAGAAGAAAATCGTGGTTATCAACTGCCTATATAAATGAGAGAAAAAAAAATTGATTTTTTTTTCTTCTCAATTTGAATGCCAGGTTACCACAGCAAAACACTTTTACTCAGAAAAAATAAAACATAAATAGTCAAATACTACTGGTAAAGTTTGAGTTTGCAGTAAATTAGAAACTGTCAAATGTAACATAAAGTCTAGCTTAAAGGTATAGCTTTGCTGCTTTACATAAAGTCTAAAAATATATAAACACAGCACTTGGTTTAATTATTTTAAGAAATCAAAACATTTTACCCACAAACCACTGACTTGCTAACCTTAATGAAATAAAACCATTGGTTTATCAATATTATTGTACAAAAATCTGTTCAAGGAAGTAAATGTTTCTGTTGTTATAATATTGTATCTGAAATAGCTCTAGCAAAACATTTAATTCTAGATGTACAACAACTTCAATGTTGGAACATGTAGAATAAAATGAAGTTAGATCATGAGAAAAACTATTGAATACTAAGTAATTTAAAGCATAATACAGGTTTTTTAACCATAGGATACTTGGTAATTAAATGAAGGAATCTGCCTGTGATTATTTTAGTATATTTAAATGAAGCACATGTAGTGAGTATAAAAGCAAGTAATATGCAGTTTCACATTTTGTAAATTAATATTACAATGATAATGATTAACTGAAACATGTTAAGCACATGTAAGAAAAATTCCAAAAGCTTGATGTGTTAACTTACATATATAATGAAGAACTTGTATAATATGGTTCTTCAGCTTTTGCTACAGAGTATAAGAGAGAGAGAGAGAGAGAGAGTTGACTTCTGTGACTACCTAACATGCTCTAAAACATGTATTATTAATGTGTCTTCTGGACATCACACAGTAGTATAAAATAATTCAATAACATTTATAAAAGCCAAGCAGTCAATTTTAAATGAATAAATCTGAGGAAGTCATTTTCTTTATAAGCTATGTTTTCCTTATGTTAAAAAATAACTCTTTTTAAACATTTTTGTTCCTTTACAGTAATCTTGAAAAAACATCAGAGACTCAAAATACAGTGCAGATTAGGAAAATTGGATTAAGCGTGATATTTTATGGATTACTCCATTTCGTGCTGCTATGTCTTTCTCTGTTACCTCTGCTTGATTTGCCACAGTTAGAGATCCTGATTCTTCTTCTCGAATTGTAATAAAGCGGTCATTCCAAGTGTTGTATTGATAAAACAGAAGAGGTTCCAAACCACCACTAATGACCAGGTCTGACACAAAATGATTTTTCAGAATCTGGAACATGATAAAAGGTACTATTTCAAAGAGGATTTTTTTTATTCAAAATAAAATATAAAACATTAAGGTTAGCTTCTCAAGAATCTAAGACTGAGATGACAGTTCTTTCTTTATTAATTATTGATTTTACCCATTATAAAAGAATGTGTTGCTGTTGTAAAAAACACTATATTCAACTTTAATATTCTCAGGTAAAATTTTTGAAAAAGCTAAGCTAACTACACTTTATTTAGCAACACATACTAATACTCAGGGCTTAAGATAGCTTAATATACTTTTCTATCAGACTGAAATAAAAAAAATTTACAAAAGTGAAATAAGCAATGACTTGTATCTGCTGGTGGGTCAGCAGAAAGTCTCCAGGCCTACAACAGTAAAATCCAGGATTCAATTCCCCACCATGGACATAGTGCAGATAGCTCTTTGTGTAACTTTGAGCTAAAAAAAACAACAGCAATAACCAGCAATGACATTTTGTTATAAATATGAAGGCCTGTTTGTACTTTTGTACTATTTTAGATCAAACAACTCTGTTTAAAACATGTTAGTCTGGTTTCTAGTGTGATCATTAAAATGTAACTTAAGAATATATTTTAGGACATAAAAAATCAATTCATTTTACACAAATTACAGATAACTTTTTACCAGCTGTAGACTATGAACTTCATTATCTTGAAATTGAGACCAGTCACTATATTACATGTATTATAGTGATTATTTGTAGAAAGAAGTTCACATTGTGACCTCTCAGTTTGTATTATTAAAGCAATAATGTGCAATGTCTGCCATAAAAAAGGGTGTTATACTAATGATCCTAGTGTATTGACCCAAATAGTTATCATATAGCAAAAAGTACATAGTAAGATAGTAAGAATAAATTACTGAAGAAAAAGTTAATTTCTATGAACAAAACAGTTTCAAGTATTGTACATGAATGTTCTGGATATAATCACATACAATCATTTGCATCTTCATGTACAGCTTGATAAAGATTTTAAACTTACTTTCAACAGATGGCCATGTCTCAACACTTGAGCAAAATTTCAATATAAATGCTGATCCAAAACAAATTAGGAAATCATTAAAGATCTAAGCAAGTCCCCTCATGAAAAACAAATAATCTCCTTTAGTATGTGATGAAAGTATGTACTACTACTTTATTCACCCTCTTACAGAGATATGATAATATAAAATAGCTTGCTTGCTAGCAGAACAATACAGATTTTTTCATGAACAAGTATTTCTTATATATGTAATACATTATGTACAAAATATATAGTTATCCTTTTTTTCTTATTTAAGCATTACTTTAAATGCAAGAGTGTCAAAAATCTTGACTTGTACTGGTTGGCACCACTTCCACTGACCACCATCAGCAGACCCCAGAGTACAACCAATAGTTTTTTTAAAATCTTGATTACTTATTTAAAATGAAACTAACAACTTTTACAGATTAGTTGTTTTAGCTTTATTAACCTCAAAGCTTCACCTTCAAAGTATTATTTCCAAATCAAAAGAACTAAGCTTTCATATAATCTTAATACAACCTGTTATTCTCAATTTAGATTATGGCTAAAAACTGATGATTCAATGCATTATAATCCTTATAGTGTTAATTTTGGGGTCATTTTCTAGTTGTTTTTTATATGGAATTGTCTTCACTAATTTAAAAGATTACATTTTAAATTATTCTAATTTCAATCTATGTAGTTGGCTCACTTCTGATTAGAAATTCATGATAACTATTAGAACAGTTTAATAGAATGGTTTTTCAAATTAATTAAAAATCATCACAGTATAGGTACTGTAAGCACTTCATGGCCACAGGTGCACTTTAATATTTTAATTTGTACTTTGTCTTGGTATGCACTAAACAATGAATACAAAGTCTGAATAATGTTTATGTTTTCAAAACGTTTTCAATTTCTATTAGATTTATATATTTTAAAACAAGACCCATAGCATGTATAACATAAACCCCCTTTTCCTTCATTTGGAATCACACTTATTTATTCTGTTTTAGTTTAATGCAATATCTTTCATCATGGTAAACATAATGTTAACAAAAGTAATTTTTTACTAAGCACAATTTCGGATGCATGTAACAGAAGTTTTAATACCATTTCAAGGATTTCTGGTTCAGCTTGTAGTCTTTCTATTAGTCCAGATGCTAGGTATTCAAAGCTGGAGTCCTCAGGAACAAAAAGGGTAGTAATAGTATTTGGATCATCTAACACCTCAAGTAGGCTAGAATTTGTACTGTTCAGCAAACTAGTAAAGATGCTAGAGAAAAACAACATGACTATGAAACATACATTATAAGGGAACATAAATATTCTTTATTCACCTAATTGTTGGTAAATTCAGTTCAGTATTATTAAATACAACTACTTCCCATGTAATTCCACATAACATAATAAATCACAAATAACTTTCATTAATATAATTATTGCCAGTTTTTATTATTATTTTGCTTTATTAATGAAAAGATTATTGATATATGTTATAAATTAATTATCATTAAATGAACACTATAAACATCTATAACCTTCAATGTAATTTTTATATAATTATTGTACCAAGAGTACTTGGGTAGATTGCATCATTACAAAAAATAATCTACTGTTGTTACGATACAGGATATATAGAACCAATACACAAGAATAATTTTGTTAATGTAGCTTACAAACCTGACATTGGATTGTGAAAGAAGAAGTGTGCCAACAGTGTTCTGTGTTGGAAGCAAAACACGATCAATTATATGTAGCACTCCATTCCTTGCTTCATGGTCAGGATCAGTAACAATGGCAAGCCCCACACTGAGCCGCTAGAGTAAAAAAAGCACTTTTAACAAGAGGAAGATACAACTATATGGAAACTTGTTAGCATATAAGTATGAAAGCTACTTAACAGATGTGTAAGAAATCTAGTTAAGCATGTTTGATTATCAACTATGTTCACTGATGCCCAGCAATAATACAGCTTCAGGAATGTTAAACCAAAAAATATGTTGTAGATGGACCACAAAGGTAAACAACTAGACTCAAGTGTAGTTTGAAAGAAACACTTTTTTATTAACAGAAACACTGTGTTTTGTTACCTACACTGATTGGATTTCTTCTCATGGCTACTAGGGTTGACAAGAGGAAAGTCTAAAGAAATCAGAAGTAAAATTAAGAGAGAGAGAGAGAACTATAGAAATACTTGGCTTATATTCCTGAGTGAAATAAAGAAAACCAGGTATCTCACAAGTTCACAAGCTACATATTTAAACCAATGTTCTACACAAAAATGTTAATCTGAGCTAGATGTTGAAATTTATATATAAAAGCTAGTGAACATACAGTTCATTACTAACACTAGATAACAGATCAGGGGCAGATTGGGCTGCCGAGACACTAGGCAAAATCCCAGTGGGCCGGTGATGCCTCGGCCAGTGGGGTGATAACCTGGTTATACTGTCCCAGTGATATTGACTAACCTATTGTACATCGCTCTTTCTATACATATATCATCCTGATTTTTGGGCATTTGCCTGGGCCATTTTAGGCTTCCAATCCACCCCTGTAACAGATATGTGTGAAATGGAAATTGCAGATATGCTACTTATGAAGTGCTTATACCTTTAGTGTGGGAAATGACAATTTGCCAAGTTATGGTTAAGATGACCCAATTTAATATCTTCTTGAAGTACTAAAACCTTTTTTCAATGATGTCAGATAGGCACTTCCAAAAACAGGCACCATGCACATAAGTGCCAATACAAAAATGAAATAAACAGTTAAATGTATATTTCTACATCCAAGGCTGTCAAACGTTTCTATTTTGAATGATATGTTAATGTAGAGGTCTGTCATGGTTTGGCTAGACTTAATCAAATAAATTTATTGATCACAATATTAAACATTATGAATTTTGAATCTCTCAGACATGATAAGGTTATTATGGCTCTGATGAAAGAGTATATTTTTTTATATATATAATAACAGGGTGGAACAAGAAGATATATGTTTTTAGAAGTTTGATTCAGAATGTTTTGTTGTACAAAGTGGAAACTTGAGCTGTAATGTTAATGAAGGGCTGGAAGAAAAAGGAGTTAATTGGTAGAAACAACTATTACAGAATAAACCTAATATGTGTAAATATATTTTAGTATACAAAAAATGAAGTAATGAATAATTTTATTAAAAAGTACAACAATTGTAAATTTTGTGGAATACATAAATATATTATTATTATAACAGAGGCATACTTATGATTTGTCAGCCTCAGCAACCAAAACCAAGTAAATCAATCATGAGATCATGACACACAAAAAAGTAAACATAACATTAAAAGATAACAAGGGATCTTTTGGTCCATCAATGCCATTCTGTCCACTAAACTAAACATTAAAAAAACAGCCCTTATCATTCAAATATTTACCATGCTTTCCCTTATACTCTCTTAAATTAACTGCATGAAGTATTTGAGGCATTTTGGGAGAATTACAAATGCTTTGGTGGACAAAAAATATAATTTTTATGAATATTCATGTATGAAACACATGCATGTCAAGCAAAGAAAATACATGCCCACCAGCAGATGTCTAATCTAAACCACATTGAAACGATTTACCAAAGAAAGAAATGTATATGTTAAACAAACACTGCAATGCTTTCCAAGCTGCAGTGTAAACCAGCAGTTTATCTTACTTACATAAACAGATGTGATCGTAGTATAGAGAAAGGCTATAGAAAGTTTATATTATTGATTATAAATAGAGGAAATGATTTGTATAAAAAAACTCACTGGTGGAACTTTAATCAGAAGGAAGGCGAGGAGAAATATATGCAAATAGGCTGCCAATTAACAACTCTTGACCATAACCAATTAACAATTACTTTTGGTTTTGGATTGATAAAATAACAGAATTGACAGAGGACCTACTTGCAAAGTAACCATGTAGAGCTGGTTGAATTCTCATAGAACACACAAAAATATGGATAAATAGTTATGTTTTGGACCAAAATTCAGTTCTTCAATGAATATTCCATGGCTACAGAATCCATTACTTGTACCTGATGATGACAAAATCTTGTCGAAACGTTGTACATTTGCTGTTATGTTAAACTTACATTAAAGTTTTTCTTCGTTACCCATTCAAGCCATCTCCAACCATTATTAACTTCTATGTAAGTAATTATTGCTACCCTTTTTGGTCAAACAGCATAGTTAGAAATTGATTTAAAATGTACAATGTTAAGGAGAACTCTTAAATTAAATTATGTCTGAGCATGTCTCACATAATGTTTTTATCGATAATCTATTTGCTGTAGTGAGAGATTTAATGAATATTATTGAAGGTTTGATGAATGAACTGTTACTTGCTCAGAATGATTCTTTGAAACCTTTAACATAAAAGCTTTTCAAGATTCTATTGGTAATAAAGATTTAAATGTAAATGAATATTTCAATAGTTTGTATTAAAGTATTGGATGCATTTTGAATCTCAGTCTCTAAGTCAATACTTCATTCTAACCATAAAGTTCCTGTACTTCGCTCGCAAATGCATACCTGTATTTAAATAAATCTATTCATAATTGGTGTTAAAGTTAAATCCAAATGACTAGCCTGTGTGGCTTCTCATTACAAATTGGCACAGTTGACAGGATTTTTTGGGTAACCAACAATAGGTTGGTAGGAATAAAGAAAGAGTAAAAATAAGTAGTTTAGGTAGTGTAAATTGACGTAAGTTGCATAAGTAAGAAGACATGTCTACTGTTGGCATAGACTCTATGACAGAAGAGAGTGCATAACCACGAGCTGGTAGAAGGGCTGACATAAATTTTGAAGCTGTAGCAGTTCAACCCACACCAGCAGGTCCATGCAGCACTACACATTTAATGGCCACTATACCATTATTTTGTGGTAAATTTGATGAGAATATCAAGAGTTTTATAGATGCAGTATATGAAGTTGCTAGAATTTCAGGGTGGACAGATGCTCAAATAGCATATATTCTGAGATTAAGAATGGCAGGAGAAGCTAAGCGTTACATTAGAGCTTATGACAAACTGCAAGAAACTGCAGATTTTCAGCATTTAGCACACAGTTTAGTGCAAGAATATAGAAAATGAGAAATGCATAACACAATCCTTATGCATATACACAGTTTAACTCAGCTGAGACTATGTCATACTGTTTGGCCATAACTAACAGGAGATAGGCAACAGGTTGCATAGGGCATACAGACATCCCAATGAGCTAATGACACAGGATACTTTGAAGTCAGGTTATGAGCAAGATATTGTTGCGTCAGCGAGGTCACATGACTAGTGTCACGCCACGTTTCTAGAACTATCCTGTACCTTGGTGAATGCCCTAGCATTTACTAGATATAGGGTAGTCTGGTATATAAAAGATGGTCACAATGTGACGGGACAATGTGTGTGTAGGTAATGAGTAATTGAACTGCAGTCAGAGAGAGACGTATTGTTGAAGTCTAGCTTGTGATACGTGAATTATAGTTTGTTATAGTGCAACTGTTGAAGTTGAGTGTATCGGTAAAGTTATATTCAGAAAGAATAAACCAGTTTTATTAAGTGAGGACTTGTGTCGCTAATGTTTCATTGGAACGAAGTTACGGAAAGTTAATTAACAAAAGGTGACGTAACAAACTGGTGTCAGAGAGTGGGATATAAAAAAAAATAAATGGAAACAAGAAGCGGCAAATCAAACTACA